AAGAATGACTATTCTCTCTTCACAAAGAAAATAGGTTCTTCTGTCATTCACCTTGCAGTTTATGTTGATGACATCATCATCACTGGAAATGATGTCACTGAGATCACAGCTTTAAAGACTTTCTTGAATGATGTTTTCAAAATCAAGGATTTGGGAACACTGGGTTATTTTTTAGGCTTGGAAGCTGTTTATGAAGGCCACAATCTGATCCTCACTCAGCAAAAGTTCACCTTGGACTTACTGCAGACTTTCAATTGTCCTTCTTCCTCTCGTGCCATTTGTCCTTTGGCACCTAATCTCCAGCTTCAAATCAATACTGGACCTCCACTTCAAGATCCCACTCTCTATAGATGTCTTGTGGGCAAGCTTAATTTCTTAACTCACACCAGACCTGATATTGCATATGCAGTTCAGTTTTTAAGCCAGTTCATGCAAGATCCTCGCCTTCCTCATTGGGAAGCTGCTCAACACACTTTGAGATATTTGAATTCTACACCTTCTCAAGGACTTCTGTTTACTGCCTCTTCTGATTTCAAGTTACAAGCCAATTGTGATTCAGACTGGGCAGCTTGTCCCAATACACGACGCTCTGTGAGTGGTTATTTCATTCTTTTAGGTGGTACTCCTATCTCATGGAAATCTAAGAAACAAGCCACTGTTTCCCTCAGTTCAGCTGAAGCTGAATATCGTTCCATTCGCAGAGTTACTGCTGAATTAGCTTGGCTTTCTCGTCTCTTCTCTGATTTGGGTGTTCCAGACATTACCCCTATTCCAGTTCGTTGTGATAGCAAGGCAGCCATTTATATTGCTACTAATCCTGTGTATCATGAACGTACTAAACACATCGAGTTGGATTGTCATTTTGTACGAGAAAAATTACAGGATGGCCTCATTACACTTCATCATGTTCCCAGCTCTGCCCAAATTGCTGATCTCTTCACTAAGAGTCTTCCCAGTGTTGTGCATAATCATCTTGTTTCCAAGTTGGGGGTTCAAGCTCCCTCCAACTTGAGGGGGGGTGTTGGGAAAGCTTCGCTCAGTTTTACTTCTTGTTAAATTCAGTTTTAAATTTGTTAAGTTTGTTATTTCTGTTAGTGACGTGGCTTTCTTTCCTCTCTTGTATAAATACTGTGTGTGGTTTTAATTCCAAGATAAGTTTTTCTCTCTGCAAATTCTATCATCAATAAACAATGATTTTCTTCTTTTCCCCCTCATGATTCTTCATCGCCATTTCTGTATCAAATTGTTCAAGGAATTCATCATATCTAAGAATTCCAACATTAAACGTTTCTTTCCAGAATGTCAACAATTTTCAGATAGATCTTCTTAGCAAGAAGCATCATACGGAACTACTCTTGACTGTAGTTTGAACTATAAGGGAACTCCTAAATCTGAGAACCATAGCAGCTCGAGAATGCTCCAGGAAAAAAATGCAGAAACTAAAATCAATCCATTCAGAATGAAAAAGGAAAGAAACAGTCTGTACCAATTTCTGAGAGCTGGTACGAGGATTAAACCCCTGGAGGAAGTGAGGTTTCCTTTCAATAGACATCTCCCCACCAAGACTCCGACGTGTTTCAGAAATTCAAAGTAAAACCCTGCAATCATCAACCCTTGGAATGTTTCCTTGACCGCATTTTCGTCGCTCAAAGTAGGGATATGGATTGGGAAAAGCCTAGAAGAACATCAGTAGCCAAATTGAAGACATGATAGAAATGAAAGATAAAAAAAAATTGATGGGAAAAGAGTAAAATTGAAGAATTTCCATTACGTTTACAAAAATGGATTACTCTTGTTGCACAAACTTGTCTATTCTGCCAATATAAAATATGTGGACACTCATGATAGCATCTATGTGATGGTACCGTAGTATGACTCGATTAAGTTGATTTTAGTTGGAATGGAGTTGCAAGAATCATGGTTGAACGGAGTATTGTAGCGTGTTCAAATTGACAATAGTGTCATACGGGGCCAATACCGATGTCAATGGAATCTTATCACTTCAAAGTAAAAAAATGTAAAGATTATGGTCTTGCTTAGAAATAATGTTTCAGTTATTTGGACAATTTTTTAATTGTTGACATTAATTTAGAAAACGATAAAATTTACCGTTGCCATTAGATAGATAGTATATTTTAAAAAAAGACCCAAAATAAGTGTAAAATATACTCCCTCCGTTCTAATAAAAGCTTCTTAGTTTGACTTGAAGCCAAAATAAGGATGTGTTAAATTATAGTTGATTTTTAATTTTGCTCTTGATGTGATGGGTAAAAGTAAGATGTGATGATTATTAGAAAAAAAGTATGATATGATAGGTAGGGTATGAAAAGATAAAGTTAAAAGTGGTTTTTTAATATAAAGTGGAAGTATTTTGATGGAAGTGGAAAAAATGAAAGAGAAAGTGTTTTTGAGAACGGAGGGAGTATCACTTATCGTCAAAATATGAGTTTTATATTTTTATTTCCAAAATAAGAATTTTTAACTTTATTTTTTACTATTATATCTTGATATTATTGGCATTATACTCTTATGTTAAGATAAAAAAACATGAAAGCTCTATTTTAATATTTTTTCCATATTTTTACTTTTAATTTAGTAATTTTCTCTTTTTAAAACGTTAGAACTATTGCTAATATTCTATGGTACAAACTCGTCTACTTGAACTATTGACCAGCTCAACACAATTTTTCTGGTTTGGTAATATTTAAGCTTTATTTAGTGTACAATAATCATATACCGAGCACATAATAAGCATTCTTTTATATTTATGAATGAAATGCAGATCATACCTACATTTGGCATGATTTGAGATGCTATATTAGTATTCCAAAATAGTTTAACCTTGAGAAATTTGATAATAATTGAACTTATTGAATAAGAATTAATATAATATAATGATTGAACTTATTGAATAAGAATTAATATAATATAATTGAACTTATTAAATTAATATAATATTCAATAAGAATTAATATAATATAATTATTGAGATGCTATAATATTCAATAAGAATTAATTTAATAAGAATTAATATAATATAATTATTGAGATGCTATAATATTCAATATAATTGAACTTATTAAATTAATATAATATTCAATAAGAATTAATATAATATAATTATTCAATAAGAATTAATATAATATAATATTCAATATTCAATGAGATGCTATATTAGTATTCCAAAATAGTTTAAACTTGATAAATTTGATAATAATTGAACTTATTGAATAAGAATTAATATAATATAATGATTGAACTTATTGAATAAGAATTAATATAATATAATTGAACTTATTAAATTAATATAATATTCAATAAGAATTCAATAAGAATTGATAATAATTGAACTTATTGAATAAGAATTAATATAATATAATTGAACTTATTAAATTAATATAATATTCAATAAATTTTAACCAAAATAGTTTAAACTTGATAAATTTGATAATAATTAAACTTATTGAATAAATTTGAAATAAGATATTTTTAACCAAAATAGTTTAAACTTGATAAATTTGATAATAATTGAACTTATTGAATAAGAAAGGTTATAGCGATATGTTTATATAAAAAATAGAAAGGAATTCTTAATTAAAATGATAAAAGTAATTATTGTAACAACATAATATAAAAAAGCTAGAATATTTTCGTCATTTTGTATTATTTATGTTCAACTTATAATTAGTTTGATCACATTAAAATCTTTATGGAGTGTTATTTTTAACCATCATGAAATACTTGAAAATAATGATATACAATAATCATATACGGAGTACATCATAAGCATTCTTTTATATCTATCAAACTACTTTTATACAAAAGACGTGTAGAGGATTAACATACGAAGACCTTACCTATAGAGCTGGTAAATCAATTGGTTATGTCAAATTTGATTCTTTCAAATTTGAGTTATTTCAAGTTTGGATTACTTTGAGTTCGAGTTGAGAACTGTACTGCATGTTTATGATAAATGTGGTCGGGTTCAGATTAATCCAACAAATTAAGAATTTTATATTTAAAATATTTAAATTAATACGAAGTACTAAAATATCAAAATATGTATGTTAAAGCTATTATAATATTTTATTTCAAATTTTAAGTAATTTATAGATTAATACAAAATATTACTAGTACGGAGTATAAAATAGTACGGAGTATAATCATTTAAAAAAATACGGAGTACGAGTAAAAAGGTTAAAAACTGCAAAAAGGTTGCGGGCGGGCCTGGGAACCTGCCAGTGATCCGGTCTAATATGGAGTCTTGATAGTCAGTATTTCCCAAAGATTGCGCCTTTCCGCAACAGCAGCGGCGATATTGATCGTCGGACCGCCGGGGGCGTCAGTCTTCAAAGCATCATCAATCGGCAGTTGCCGGACGGCTTGAAATCGTTGCAGCGTGGAAGGTCAGAATCCCCTCGCCGCCCCGCAAGGTTTCTATTTTGAGATTCAGTCCTTATTTGCTTGTTTTTCCTTTTGAGCTCGTCATGTCGTTTTTTTCCCAATTTCTTCCATGTTTCTGCTTGTTTTCTAATTTCGTGTCTGCAAAAATTAAAAAAAAAATCTGTTGATTAGTTGCTGATCTTAATTTCTGCGTTTTCACTCTCTGCCAATCCTATTTACAGTATTTGTTAACCACGGTTTATAAGTTTTTACGTTCATTGAAAAAGGATAGTTGTTGTTCTGAAAGCTGTTGCTTTACTTTTACTGCCCTTGCTGCGAAACAATTCTGGTTGTTCAATGACTTCAATCCTTATCGTTGGTTCTCCCACTAACGCACCTTGTCCAAAAGTGATAATTTGGCGTGACAGATTTATCCATGGTCGGTTTTTAATCTTTGCTGTTGCATCTTTGAAAAAAAAACATTATCTTTACTTTTAATATTACTCGGTAGTACTTTTAAAAGCCAAAAGTTTGGTATTTGAACGGTATAAATTATAAAACCAAACCAAATATCCAATTGTTTGTACCGAGTTTTTTTTTTTTGAAAAACCGAACAACCAATTTACCTTCTATTTCTCGTATTTATTTATGGGTAAAAACCGGATAGTAGAAACCAAACTCACTGCAGGCCTAGCCCATTCATCCACCCATTGCTCCTGGCCCATAAGCCCATTGATCTGTGCTTTCTTCCAAGCTGGTGGATTGGTTGGTTGAGCACACTATTCCGCACATTCTAAAAGTAAGAATTATGGATCAGTCACACTTTAAACATTTGCAAATTTTCATTTTAATAGTGATATTTTTACAGGCATAGATAGATACATGGAAAGGTCAGGGGGGCATTGTACTCATTTTTTGCTACATTAATTCGCAAATTGGGGAAATTAAGCATTCCATCATTTTTTGCAGTTGCTCATTCCCCATCCCTCGAATTATAAGGTGGAGTATTTCTTCACTTGACTCAAAAGCTATAATCATCTGTTAAATGACTTTTTGGATGATTATCCTTCCGGTTTATATCAGATGCACGAGACTGAAAAGAATTGCTTTCTCTCGTGCATATGCATTGCATTGGGCACTGCTCTTTTTATTACTCAAATTTCTGTCAAAGAATGTTCAAGTTATTTCATATGGAAATGTTTGAGCTTGAAGCCGCTCCCTGTTGATAAGATAATCAAAAATTTGTTTCTATTTCATGTGTATAATACAATGAATTCTTCACTTTGCAGATGGCTGGATCTAACTGCAAAATCAAGGGTATTAAGATTGTGCCTTTGTAGCCGTGAGTGGACAAAAAGGCACATGGGTTCTTTTATCCCCGAAGATCTTGTATTGAGCATCCTCTTTCGCCTTCCGGCAGATGTTATTTATGGGATCATGCAATATGTTTGTCGGGAGTGGTATAACATAGTGCGAAGCCCGACATTTGTTTCTACCCACCTCCAAAAATCAACTGGTGGTGCTTTCCTACTTCAGGCAGCCAAATCTCGTCCCAGGTATTTTCTGAGAATGGGCAAATGTGGTGATGATATCGAGCTTGTGGAGGCAGAATTTCCACCATCACGTGATCTTGCATCCAGTTGTAATGGACTGGTGGTGATGGTTCATTACAATTGCAGGGAGTTGTGTATTACTAATCCTGTTTTGAAGCAGCAGCTAACCCTCCCTCCACACCCAAAATTGGTTGCCAAGAAATTCTGCAAACTTGCATATGATGTTTCATCTGGAGTGTACAAGGTGGTAGTTTGCAATCCCTGGGATCCTCCAACTGTATTAACTGTGGGTGATAAGACATGGAGACCCCTTCGGAGCAGCTGCTTATTTAATAGAATTGTTTCCGATCTCCATATAAATCGCTCTTTATCTCTGGGAAGTTTTCTGTACTGGGTTTCAGAGTGTGCCCTGTTTGTCGTTAGCTTTAACGCTGAAACTGAGACGTTTCAAGAGATCCATTTCCACAAGGCTGCACGAGTGGGTCTCCGGTGGCATTGATAGAAATGGGGTCTTTTCCATGCCTGATGCGGTGGAAAGAAAAATGGACATGGGAGCTCTGGTTGTCGAGGGATCAGGAAAATGCAGGATGGGAGAAGATGTCGGACATCAATTTACTGGGTCAGAGCAGTTTGATCAGAGTTTTAAGTGATGACGACAGATGTTTCCTGCCTTTGGGATGGATGAAATGCGGCGAGCTGATGGCGTTTCTCGTACCATCGAATAAATCAAGAATCATAGCCTACAATGTCAGGTTAGGGAAAATTCATTCCGCATTACAGTTGAACCCCAGAATGCAGCATTGCAACCCTTTTTTCATTCCTCATGTCAATAGCTTGGTGTCCCTCACCAACTTTTGCTCCAGTTGATTCAAGCTTTCTTACTGTTTTATGAATATTAATTTTTTTTTGGCAATCTTCTAAAGTTCTTGTGCTCTTAGTTTTCTTGTTTCTCCTGGCGGTGTCAACCGAATTAATGCTATTAGGATATGATAAATGAGGTTGAATTGTGAACATTGAGCCAAGAAGTTGTGAGGTTCTTAAACTTAGTATGGTTACTGTTAAATATATTGTATATATTTAATATATTGTATTATTCCCTTACCTTATTAGTATAGATTTCCTTACTTGTGTCTCTCCTACCTTAATTAGGATTGAGACTCCCCTTATACATATACATGTAATCACAACTCTTTTGATTAATGAAAATCATAATTCTTCATGGTATCAGAGCCTAATTAAACTAAAAAAACCCTAACCCTACCTCTCTCTCTCTCCCTCGCGGCAGTCTCAGCGCCGCCCCGCCGTCCCTCCTTCGACGTCAGCAGTCCCCCAGCGGCGGCACTCCCCCCCTTCTCCCTTCGGCTCTCTTCTCTCCAATGGCCGAAAGCGAGGTTACCTCCAACTCCACTCCGGCAAAAACCCCTCATCTTGCCTTCACGACGATCTCTAATGTCAAACTCCATGTTCCGGTTCTTCTCAGCCTCTCTCAACCGAACTACAAAAAGTGGAGTCGCCTTTTCCTCCTCTTGGTGCGCTGATTCAATCTCCAAGGCTACATCAATGGCTCCATCGTCCCTCTCTCTGAAGACGACGATGAGTGGCTCCAACTCGACGCTCTCCTCCAGGGATGGATCTTATCCACCATCTCCGACGAAGTCTCAGATCTGGTTATCTCCTCTGTCTCCACCGCTTCTGCTCTTTGGAAAGTTATTCATGATCTGTTTCACGACAACAAGAATGCTCGTGCCATGCAACTGGAGCACGAGTTCAGTACCACTGTCAAAGGCAACACCACCATGGCGGCCTACTGTCAACATCTGCAAAATCTCGCAGATTGGCTGGACGATGTTGATGCCCCGGTGTCCCAACATCAATTGGTTCTTCAGATGCTTCGTGGTCTCCCTGCAGATTTGCAAGCCCAGATGTCTTTTCTTCAATTTCAGGATCTGCTGCCCACTTTTCTCCAAGCTCGCTCCGCTCTTATGCTTTTGGACCGGCAACGCTCTCCCATGGGCGACTCGAGCAGCACGGCCCTACTCGCTGGCAGGCCCGGCGTCAACAGCGGCGGCCGGCAGTCTTCCAGCGGCGGCAGCGGGGGACCTTAGCACGGCAGCAGCGGCAGCGGCGGCTACCATGGCGGCGGGCTCCAGCACGTCGGCAGCTACGGTGAGGGTGGCTCCTCCGGACAGCGCACCGACTATGGACGCGGCAGCGGGCGAGGCAACGGCGCTCGGGGTAGAGGTCGTGGACGACAAAGCAGCTCGAGGCAACAGACCTATCCCGACGGATCCAACACCTGGAACTCACCTTACCCAAACCAAAACCCGGGCCTATTGGGCCCACGTCCCATGCCTACACCCCTCCCTTATCATGCCCAAGCCTACTACA